CCCCCCCCCCCCCCCCCCCCCGTTCCCGCTCACAACCGCATGTCATTTTGTCCACACAGGCACTAATCTGGAGGCCATCACCACCTGCGAGCTCTGTAAGGAGAAGCTGCGCTTAAACATCGACAACTTCAACGTTCAGGAGCTGTACAGGACACACGTGCAGGTGAGTCTCAGGAAAATCTGCTTTATTTCTGCAGTTAAAGGAAAAAGGAGTGCTATTTATTTATTTTTTTAATTTTTCATAGTATTGATTTATAGTTTAGAATCAACTCGAATGTGAGGATCTAACTAAATAAACAGCGCTGCTGCTCTGATATCTGAGGCTGTCCAATTTTGGAAAGAAAAAAACCTAGTTGCACCCAGAGAGACAAAAGAGGCAACGTTCCAGCCGTGTGACAGATGGAGAAAAAGGTTTAGAAGTTGATCAATCTGAAAAAAAAAAAAACTCCCAGGACGGTGCATCAGAAGTCCCTGGTTCAGAAACGATGTTTCCGTCTTGTTGCCGCCCCACAGTCGGAGTACGATGAGTTCATCAGCAGCGGGCTCTACCTGGTGGTGCTGCTCCACTTCTGCGAGCAGAGGTTCTCCGACGTCCTGGGGGCCATGGACACGGCCGGGGTGAGAACGCACTCTCCTCCACAGACACAGCCCCCACACCACATTCACCAGTCTCCTGAAAAGGCAGCGCTCTCCACATTTCTAGTCAGAATTCTCAGGACCAAGCGACAGGTTTCCCAAAAATGTTTGCAGCCTTTAAAATGTGCCAGACTTGAAATCTTAAAAAAAGACAAATCTCTCCTTTCCCACCAGTTTTTCTACCTGCTGAGAATTCTTCATGAACACATGGACAGTCTTGAAAGTATGTCCCCCAGCCCTTTGCTCCTGCTCCTAGCAGAGCTCTTCGTCTGTGATCATTTTGTTTTTGTTTTTTTAAATGCAGTTTTCTGTGCATTTTTTTTCTGCGAGCCTTTCTTTGACCTTTGTCCATTATCTCTCTCCGGACGGCAGTCCCCCACGACGACAGCGACGAGGACGAGCAAGACAACAGGCCCTCGGTCGACTTTTCAGACCAGGACGACGAGCTGGACGAGGAGTATTGATCCCGCGCACGTGGCGAAGTGGGTCATGTGATCGGCGCTCGCAGGGCTTTTCCACGCCATTCGGTAGCTTAACCCAGTTTTCACTCATGCTTCAACAGTGTCATGTTCTGCCAACGGATGCGTGGCAGCAGTACCAACATGATCCACCTTTGTTGCAGATATGCAAACTTGGAAATGTTTTTTTATATATATATATATATATATATATGAAAAAAATGAATTCATAATAATTTTGGCTAAGACCACTTTATTTGTGTTTTTCTGAGAGTGCACTTTATTGGATTCGTATAATCAAATAAAAATGCAAGTCTTTCTAATGGTTCTACCACAAGTGCTTTAAAGGTTATATGAAAAGGACAACAGTGTTGAGTTTGTACTTCAGCTGTGATGGAAAGACCTTTTGCTTTATGGGACAGAATGATAAAAAATTTGTGCTGATTATTCCTTCTCCGATTCCCTCTGGATTTCTCATGTTTTTAAGAACGCCTTACTCCATTGACTTTGTTTCATAAATTGCTTTATGTATGTATGTAGAAATCTAGTTTCACGCTTTTTAAGTTTGGGAATAAAGATGGATTTCAAACTGCTACTATTACTGTCTATGACTGAAAAGTGATGTTTCCAGCACACAAAAGGCAACAAGGATCCGCTTTCCTGAAAGCTAAAACAATTCAGTCATTCCAAATCTGTGGAACTACTCTAAGGACAAGAATAGCTAAGATAAGGTTGCAATTTTCTATTTGGAATTTTAAGTCTTAATGGAGGGAAAAAACCTTAAAAATGAAGACCAACTGATTTTAGAAAGTTTACACTAATATTTGATTAAATACTACTAAATAGTAGCTCAACAGGAAAGACCACAACAATGCAAACCTAATAGAGGGAAGTCATTGACAGCAGATAACTTTATTGACGGTTACTGTCCCCGATAGAAACAGATTAACTGTAGGTGTTACGCAAAAAGAAATAAAAAAAGACTTGGTACCTAAACAGAATTAGTTAAAAACCCACGTTAAGGCAGTTTCTTAAGCAAAGCCCAAGCTTTTGATATTCAACCTCTGAGCATCTTTGGTTCATTCTCAGTCGTAAAACAACAAACACCCCCATTATTTACAAATCATTTACAGCAAACAGTGCAATCTGAACGTCTAAAAACTCGAGCCGGTGTTCTTTAACGTACTGGAGGAGCCTGGTCCCCTCCACAAACTAAAGTGCGATCTTCATCAGTAGTCCAGTGCATAGATAAGTCAGATCAACATACATTACACACACACGCACGCACACACACACACACGGGAGTCCGATCCAGTGTGAAGCTACAGGGACGTGCACTTTGAAAGGCAAGCAGTAGGAGTGTGTAAACACAAATCAGGATAAAAACTTATCCAGCCGTGATGTCAGAAGGCACTGTCATAAATACGAAGGCTTCCCTCCAGATAGAAAACAATCTAAATTGAATTGTGCTTTTTATATAGTTTGAAGACCACTTAGGCTTTGGCCTGTCAGAATGGAGCTTAGAGTCACATTTAAAAAAAACAAAAAAAAAACAAGGAGCTCGATTCCATCCCAAATAATAAATGGAACAATCAAAGGGCGTCCTCGGCCGGGAGTTTGATTTTCTTTTTCCTTCCATTGCAGGTGCATGCTGGTCAGGGATCTGAGCTGTGAACGCCGGCGGGTCAGGGACAGAAAGCGTAGGATGAATCCGGCCGGACGGGGGTGGACGGGGGCTGAAGGTGCGACTTTCTGCATCAAACATTGGAACAGTTTGAGTTGATCGTGCATCCAGTCTGAAGACATGACAGCAGATTTACTGTAGCTTTTCTGATAGTTTGAAGTCGCTCGTGCGTCAGTGCAATTGGAGTGTTTTCCGAACGGGGGAGTCCAGGTTTCAGGTTTCTATCCGAGTGAACCGGCCACGAGTCCAGAAACGACATTCACCAGAGAGAGAGAGTCAGCTCAAGCCTCGTCCAAAACACCATCTAAAAAGCACTCAAATCAAAGACACTTTTGGCTGCTATTCACAATTTCCAAATCATATGTACAGTGTCAAACGTAATTACAGACGGAAGTTTGATTTTTAAAAACGGAGAAGGCTGCGTCGGCTGAAAAGAAAAAAACGCACGCGAGGCGGGCGGGCGGGCGGAAGAAATAGTCCCTGAGGCCGGAGGCCAGA